CTTCGGGGAGGAATGGCCAACCACAGATGACATCAGGAATGCACCTCTAGGAGCTGTCCTAGCCTTTGGTAAATCCTTAGGCTGGTTGATGTGACCAGAGCGTGTAATGGGAGGATGCACAAGGGGCCCAATGGGGCCTGGGTGTGGCGTGCGGTTTTGCATGCGCTCCCCAATCCATACATACATACAACTGCCCACCGCTAGGTGGGCGCGCGTCGTCTATCTACCGCCGTTTGGCGTTACTTCCGCTAGGTGGCGTCCCGTGAAGTAGGTAACCAACATCCACCACCCACCGCTAGGTGGCGCCTCACGACGTAGGCAACCAACATGACATGTTTTTTTAGTTTCACTACACACCACCAGATGGTCAACATAGTATTAGTTCCACCACCCACCGCTAGGTAGCGCCTCACGACGTAGGCAGCCAACATGACATGTTTTAGTTTCACTACACACCACCAGATGGCGCCACATGCATTTCAAATTTCCCGCGCTGTGACGTCAGTTCCTGCGCGCGCATGCGCAGGCGTCACAGGGGGATTAGGGGGATTAACTTCCGGTCGGGAACTCTCGTTTTTATACTACTAAGAATATCAACTTATAAACGAAAAAAGTTATTCAGTTAATAATCGTTTATCGGTGAGTACCGAAATAAGTTTGGTGAGAGGAGGTCAACCTGTAGTTAAATTTTCACAATCGAAAAAAGTATTCATACAGTTAACGCCGAGCGAGTGGTCACTTTTTTGGGAGAAGGAAAATATTATCACATCATTTTTCAATAAACGCGGAAAGGAGGAGCCACGTCAAGTAATTGAGTTAACGTGCGACATTAATCTCAGTTTAAAACTACGATCAAAGGGAACCTAATCCATAGTTAATTTATTGAATACCAAAATCGATCTGGCTGAACGATCATTTAAGCAACTGCAACGTCTGAAAAGGCCAATTACTTGGAGACTTAAAAGGCTGGAAATATCAAGCTTCAGTGAATATTATAACATAATAAAATTTATTACCACAGTACAGTCAGACGGTGAGACAATAGAAGAATTTTTAACCCAACAGTGGGACGCATTCAAGGACCACCCATCCGAATACGACGAGTGCATACAAGAAATTATCCACTTTTACCCGGATCAAATTAAATTGTGTTGTGGCGATGTGTATGTGAGCGAAACCAAATGATATCCGGAACTAAAAATAATAGTTCTAGTTTAAATAGAAAAAACGCTCTGTTAAGGCTAAAGTTGCATAGATACTTAAAACGATTAGAATCTCTCAAAACTGAAGTTAATATTTATTGTGCGGTTAAAAAGCTCTAGCAATTATCGTTGTGAAATCCTCAACATGAGTGTCCAGTTTGATCATTCAATAGTATCCTGCCTACACCTGTTGAAAGTGTGGAACTCGCTATCGAGTGTTGAACAAGAAGAATTTAAGTTTCACTTACCATGTTTTGTCCATTATAATAACTCGAATATTGACCAAATAGACGGTCCACCACAATCTATTACTAAATGTCTCGAATGTAGGCAGATATGTTCAAAATGTAAATTAAATTAATAAAACATAAAATTGTGTGTAATTGGTTTTATTCTTAATTAAAAAAAAAAAAGTGGGGGAAGTTAGGGAAGGAAATTAAAAAAGCATTTACATTTATAAAGATATTTATTTAAAATTACTCTACATTTGATTTATCATACCAACTGTTTTTTGAGGAAGGAAATCCCAACCATTTTACATATACATTATTTTTCTTTCTATCTAACACTTTTTCTATAAGGTAGATGTCTTCATAATTAGTAGGTTGAATTTCATATTCGTAAAAAGCACCCAATATCGGATTATTTTCCATATCAACTATATGTAGGAGGATTCGTAATTTGAATTTTCCGTATTTTAAACAGTTTAGTCGACCAATTTGGCGTGTAACCTTTTTCAAATATTGATTTATGCTTACTAATACGTACTTTTCTACCCAATATTTAGGACGACCAGCTATTTTTGGACGATTATAGGCCGTTTTTAAGAGGTGATCCGCGTTCTCTCGTTTGACATCTTCCGGCCGCATACCGGTGGTTCCATGAGTGATCCCATTATATTCTTTAGCAACCTCGTCCATTATCTCAATCCATTTATGATTTCCCATATAGTTAAATCGCTTATATATGTTTTCCTTCAATGTCTTAATTACCAGTTTAGCTATTGACGCTTTCATGGTACTACTTGGTACTACTTGATACTATTCATGGTACTATAGAATAATGATTGATATTAAATCTATTCAACAGCTGTTTCATGTAGGAATTATAAAATTCCTTCCCGGCATCGGTCTGTAAGTTATCTGGTATTCTACCCTCGGCAAAAACACTTTCAAAAGCCGCTTTCACTTCACAACCCCTTTTCGTCTTTAAAGCTCTAAGCCAAATATACTTTGATAGACAATCAGTTATTACTAACATATATTTGTTTTGCTTATTCCACTCAGCATAATTAACTATATCAGCTAAATCAGCTTGCCACAAATCGTCCAGACATCGAATAATTGTTTTTCTCCGGTTAAATCGCTTCCTTTCCATATGCTTTTTTGTTGATATATCATCTTTGATACATTTTAATACATATTGTTTTGTTGCTGCATTATCACTTTTTACTGGATCAAGTAAATTACATAACCGCTTACTACCAACATAGATCATACCATCGTCAGTTATACTAAATTTTAATCTAACATCGTGGTAGTATACGGTACGATTTGTCGGCTGAGTTGTTCGGTCACCTTTAAAAGCACCAAATTTATCCATTCTTAGAAAATAACGTTTGCTTCTTTAAGTTCTTCTATTATAGAAACAATTTCGTTGTTATGTGATGTATTACCCGCTTGTTGGGAGCTTACTAAAAGACGTAATCGATCAGCAATCTCATTTATATCATCAAAATAGACATATTGATATGGTATATCGACCTTAGGAACTGTTAAACTTAAGGATGAACCTTAACTTTTCGGGTTTTCTTGTGAATCAGCGGTTTGATAATTGTTTTATATTTCAGTGATCTGGTACCTCTTATTTGTTGATTAGGGTTGTAATTTCGTTTATGCGCGCTACTTCTAACCAATATATCATGATAAGTATTATAGTCATTTTGTAAGCAAATTGTTTTTATAGGCTTCTTTTTAAATAGTAATTCGTAGAGACCGGGAGTGCCTTAATATGTAACATTATCAATAATTATATTACCGTCATTATCAAAGTTCACCGAACTGCGACCAATACACCATTTCTCTGTTAGACGATTATGTGAAAGACCAGTTTTAGCATCATGATCGAAATTATTTTGTATTAACCCTCATATATTTTCTCGGTAACTCATGATATTGCTCCAAATATACATTAAGGGATTCAGATGCTATTTCAGCTTGCCGATAAGTTGACTCATTAGGTGTATACTCTGGAGCATCTTCCCAGCTGGAAGTTTCAAAAACCTCACTGGTGTTCCGAAACTTGAAATCAGACTGACTATCAGATCTATTAATCGGTTCTTCTCTTTCTTCTTCTTCTTTAACTAATTCCTGTTTAACTGGCTGATTAGATGAATGACGTACGGTTTTCAGTAATTTATTTAGCGGTTTAACTACGGGACTATGAAGTCGTTCTAATGTTTCTTCTTCGATGCGTTTACCTGCCTTGATAGCCAAATACTTCTTTCTAATAGCGTCGCTAATATTGACAATATCCGAACGAATCGAATTATTTATTATATCTTTACGATAACGACGATGGTTGCACTCCACTATTTCTTCGAGCTTATGCATGACTGAAATTAACCAATCACGTATATCAACTTATATAAACAGATATAAACAGAGCTCTCCTTTAGCTCTTCATAAAATGAGGCTGAAAAAAAAACAGGCTGTTCACCGGTAAAACAGGTATACAGGGTGCCCATTATGTATGGAATATAGCATATATCTTGGTACGTATCAACTTTATAAAAAAACATTTTATACAAAAGTTGTTTAATATTTTATTTGCCATAATAAGACTGCATTCAATTGTTTTTAATTTGGAAAACAAATGAGTAACGAATAATACTTACATTTTTGAAAATTTTTGAAAAAAATGTTAAAATTGTTTATTAATAAAAATAAATCAATAACATTAATTTAGATACCCAAGATCTCAAATTATTACCGTAAATTAAATTTACGTACAAAATAAAACAAATAAACGAAAAATTAGTGTACATCTCCAATAATTCGAGGTACTTCGAGGTATTTGACGATCTCGGATATCTAAGTAGATTACTGTTATTAGTTAAATTTTCTTAATAAGCAATTTTTACATTTTTTCAAAAATTTTCTGATATCCCTTATGTACCCTTAATGTAAGGGTACAAAAATTTTACGTCATCGTAAAGAGAAAAGAAATCTCTATCAAATGAGCCTAACGAAAGGGTACATTGCCATTTGAAAAACTTAAAGTGTTGTTTATTCGTTGCTCATTTGTTTTCTGAAATAAAAACAATTGAATGCTGTCTTATTATGACAAATAAAATATTAAACAATTTTTGTATAAAATGTTTTTTTATAAAGTTGATACCTACCAAGATATATACTATATTCCATACATAATGTGCACCCTGTATAAAAATGCCACTAAACAGATCTCAGTAGAGTATTAATGCCGGTTCTGGACCGGAAGTGAGTCCTGAATCCTGATGCTCCTGCGCATGCGCGTATGGTGTGTGGGGTGGATGAGCGATAGATGGCGCTGGGAAACGCCATCTGGTGGTGAAAGGCGCCATCAGGAAAAGGCGCCATCTGGTGGTGGTGGTGAAAGGGTGGTGGATGAGCGATAGATAACGCAGCTTAACGGTAACTTTTTTATGTGACGCCATCTGGTGGTGAAAGGCGCCATCTGGAAAAGGCGCCATCTGGTGGTGAAAGGGGGGGTGTGGATGAGCGATAGATGGCGCAGCTTAACGGTAACTTTTTTATGTGAAGCCATCTGGTGGTGAAAGGCGCCATCTGGTGGTGAAAGGGGGGGTGTGGATGAGCGATAGATGGCGCAGCTTAACGGTAACTTTTTTATTGCGCCACCTAGCGTGGGGAAACGCTACCTGGCGGCGGCAGTTCGTGTGTCGTCACCTAGCGGTGGACAGTTAGGTGGGGGGGCNCATCAACCAATTCTGACTGTAACTTTGGACCGATATGTAAACAGTCATTTAATGAGAGTCCGGAAGATGTTGGAGCAGACCCGTTGAAGACGACGCGCAATTTAGTTGTAGTACTGGATTCACGAACCACTCCGTGATGCGGAAGATAATAATTTGGAGCCTGTATGTTCGATGAAACGAGCTGCATGTGTCCGAGAGACAAGTATTCGTGCATAAAGTCGTGATACGATACAGATAGTCTCTCACTTTTCGCGAACCGCTGTTCCATTCGTCCGAAAGATCTAACGGCGACGTTATAAGAGGCACCGAGCGCTAATGGAGATCGCTTGAAAGGCAACCGAACAACCAACCGACCGCTCAAATCCCGCGAACACGTCTGAAGGAAATGATTTTCACATTCTTCTTCGTCGGAAGAAAGCTTCCGGATCGGAACAGAATCGTCCTCCAACTTCCAGAAACGTTGAATCGTCTCCAAAAGCTCGCGATCGACCGAACACTGGAACCCGTACCGCTCTGATTTTGAGATAGAACACGAATCGGACACTGAACCGAAGAGAATCCAACCGAACAACGTTTCTTGTGCTACCATGAACCCATTATTAAATTTTCGGATGTTATTTTGAATGATACGCGAATAAAATTTAACACCAAGAATAAGATCGATTTTGCGATTAGAGTTGAACTCAGGATCAGCAAGATCAAGTGTCTTTAGTTCCGGAGGAATACTTTTCGACTGTACTTTAGGCACGTATGAAGTTAGTTTCGGAAGAATAAACGTTTTTTCTTCAAACGAGATCGAACCATCACGTCGCGACACCAATTGAATCGAAGCAAGTCCATTGGATATGCACGTTCGCGTCGATCCAACACCGTTAATTGGAACGGAAGCTGCACTACGAGGAAGAGACAAACGCTGCACCAACGATTCACTTATGAAGGAGACTTCCGAGCCCTGATCAATCAAGGCGCGAACCAGAAAAAGGTCACCACGCACTGATTTAACTTTAATTAAGGCTGTTGCTAACAAAACAGAAGAATGAATATGGAACGAGTGAATACGATGACTTGTTGAAGGTTCAGGTAAATTCGAATTAGTTTTATTGTTTTCATTTGAAATAACTTTGTTTAGTTTTTCAGGGGGAAACTCATGTAATAGCGAATGATGTCGTTTCGCGCACGTGCGACATCGTGATGTTACAAGACATCTATCGAGGAGATGACGACCGAGACAATTGTAACAACGCTTATGATCGGCGACGAATTCGGAACGTTGTTTTGGTGATTTCGCGAGAAAGGCTTTACATCGAGATAAATAATGTTCGTCTCCGCACAAAACACATGTCCAATTCTTAGCCGATGCATTGTGAGATTTTATCGTTCCCGATTTGTTGCCTGATCCTGAAGAAAAACTAAAATTTTTTCGTTTATCGGATAGCTTCTCAATAGCTTCGAGGGTTAAAACGCGCCCGATAAGAAATTGAGAGAATTCTGAAAATTTTGACGGAACCTTACGATCAGTTATCGACTTTTCCCATTCTTTGATCGATTCGCAGTCCAGCTTTCTCACGAGAATATGTATTAAAAGATGATCCCAATGATCAACTGGACATCCCAAAGATTCCAACGCTCCGAGAGACTCTTTTACCTCCGAGATTAACATATTGAGCTCAACAGAGGACTCGGTTTTAAGAGCTTTGATGGATAACAGAATGGTAAGTTGGGTGTCAATTAAGATTCTTAAGTTTTCGTATCTTTCTACCAACAGTGTCCACGCGACGTCGAAATTATCGTTGGTAATAAGAAGATTTTTAACTAATTTGGAGGGTTCTTTTTCTAAACTCATCTTGAGATATTGGAATTTCTCTACTTTTGTTAAAGAGGCGTTGTCCTTTACCATAGTTACAAAAAGATCGCGAAATTGCGTCCAATCCGCGTACCGCCCGCTAAATGTTGGTAAACTAATGCGCGGAAGCTGCTTGGAACGCGACTCGACGACATCCGGAGCAGTAGATACCGTAGCATCTGAAGGTTTTTTTATGTCGTTTAGCATATCTATGATAACGGCTTTAGAGTCTATGTAACTCTCTTCACAACAATTATATAAATCATCTGAGAAGTATACGGTTTCTGAATAACTTGACCGATATTGATTTAAGAGCCGATGGTTTTTACTAAATTCGGTCCAATTATCGGTCAATCTCTCTAAACGAGCGGCGAATTGGCCAGAAGTTCGCTTGGGTATGGCCAATTTACGAGCATTATCAGCTGCGCGAGAAATTGAACTGTAGAGTTCATTTTGACGCTCGAAAATAACGTCTAGTTCGCTCGCGGATGATTCTTTCGGCATCGCGAAGTCGAACACGAATAAGAAATGTTCGGAAACTTAAGTAAATTGTCACCTGTTGCAGATTTAACGAATTTCGTTGAAACGATGACACCTGATGGAGACCTGAGGGAAACTTGAAACACCTGGATGATGGTGTTGAAAGGGCACCAGGAGAAGATTTGGAGCACGTTGACGGCGGTGTGGCACGTGGTGGAGACCTGAAGCACCTGGACGACGACGTTGAAAAGGCACCAAGGGAAGGCTTGGAGCACGTTGAAGGCGATGTCGAACCTGGTGGAGACCTGAAGTACCTGGTGGAGGGTTGGAGCACCCGGATGACGGCGTTGAAAAGGCACCAAGTGAAGCCTTGGAGCACCCACGTTTTTGAAGACCACCCAAAAATGGCGCACACGTGAAGAAACTAACGTGATTCCGCGAAAATCGAAATAATCCGCGATTATAACATCCGGCTCGAAGGACCAAAAAATGTTAAACGAAAACTTTCGCGGAATTAAAGGGGTATTTTTTTCGGGAATTGAAAATCGAAATAACTTTTGAGGAAACAGGTTTTGAATTAAACTCCACGAAATCTGAACGACAAAAGAGGACATTTATTCGAAAAACACGACTTTTATACAAGACAAACAGGAACAAGAAATACAATATGAAATAATATTTGAATTTAAAAATAAAATAATAATAAAATATGTGAATAAAACGAAAACAATACATTTTTTTAACAATTCTATAAATAAACAAAATGAAAATAAATTAAACTTTTTAAACAATAATAAATAACATAAATAACAAATATGTATAAATACAGATCGTGTTACACGTGAGTTTGCACATGTTGGCGGAATTTTTTCGTTTTTAGAAATAATATAACTTTCTGCAAGTGCTTTAAAGTGGTTATTTTGTTGATTACATTAACAGTTATTGTGAATTATAATTTTTCCTAATTTCCATTGTTGAGTGGTCTTTGGTAAAAAGTAGTCATGTCTTCGTGCAGGCGGTGTAGTCGTGTGGTGGGAAGAAGAACTGGCGTACAGTGCGAGGTGTGCCGTTGCAACAACGCGTTGTTGGTTTCACACCAAGTGCGCTGAATCTGGCGATACGCCACAGGTCTCGCCCTCTAAGACGTCTAAGGCTTGGATATGTCTGGATTGCAGGTTAAGAGAGCGAGGTGTTAATTCCCGCAAATCAATCGTACCTATTCAGTCGGCTTCATCAGGTTCTGTTACCACTTTAGAACCTTTGAACCCACTTTGAACCTGTTTACGAGATGGTCCGTGATATGCGGTCGGAGATGCGATCGAAGAACGGGGAACTTCTTGATTCGGTTGAGTTCTGCAGTGGGCGTATATCTGATTTTGAGCGTATTTTAAATGAATTAAATGAAAAAATCAAGATTATCCATAAGCTAACTGCGTAAAATCGGGTGTGTTAAATCCTTGTATATCAATCGCTAAAACGTTATCATTTTTTTCTTTTTTATGCGGAGAAAATCTTTCGTTATAAACTTTTGGACGATGTGAAGACGACAGGATTGGATTCAGTATTATTTGCAATCGATTAATATAATCTCTAAATCGTTGTCGATCAATCACACTAAATAACCAAGGTGACTTTCTATCTTCTTGTTCATAAAACCACTCATACGTTGTTGTAATTCCAAAAGTAACCTGTTTACGTAGCATAATTTTTTTATTTTATACAATCTTCCGGACGATGCCACTCAACGGTTCGTACTGAATGATGTTATCGGGAAGAATGAGACTATAGGCTACTACAATAGTTTCTGGATCAAATGACCTTGTACACTCGAGTTCTAATTTAATGTCAATGGTACCCGATTTAAGTGATTCATTTTGATTCGAACAATCTATGACGAAAAGCGTATTACCTCCAAATTCGTCGTAGTCGAGGAGCGGTTCTGTTGCGTTTTTAAAATAAAAGCTGGTCTGAAAAGCGGAATAATTACGATAAGCGATTACGTATCGCTTCTCGTTCATTTCAATGTTCATCGCATTATACGGATAATTTTCCGCGTTCAAATATAACTTAATATTTGTAATCGAAGAATGATCACAAATTGAGTCATCTTGTTTAAAATTATCTTTTCTATTATTTTGGAAACCGATTATGACGTAGCGTGGTTTTTCTAAGTTTGTACTAGCTTTTACAGGCCATATATCGGTTTTGGTTTTACGTAAAGCCGGTAATTCATACAGTACCCATTTTCTTAACGGAATATAAACCGGTTTGTTATCACGTAAACTGGACAGTAGCTGAAGTCGCGTTTCATCGTTAACAGTTACGTGTGGCACGTGCCATTCAATCTTATCAATTTCTATAGGGGCTTTTCTACCACCATCAACATTTATGTTGCAGTTATCATTCGTTCTGTTGCGCACTAAAATAAGTTCTTGGCTGACGTTTATCAAGATCTTTTGATAGTCTTCGGCGAAACCCATTAAAAATTTTAACGGAATGCTTGCGTTAAATGTAGTATCTTTGGATGTTGGTTGTCCTCGATTTAAGGGGTTCCATCCAGCGGTGATTAGAGCCTTTGAATCGTTTTCATTGTATGAAAGTAATCCTTTCATAGTTGTCGTTATACCGGGTTTACTACATCGATCTATTTCAACTCCATTGATTTCGTAGCGAATTTGTTCAAAAAGGAAGGCATAGGCATTGTTTGTTACTGACACTTATCCGTAGAAGTCGCATCACCTCCAACAGTAATAAATTTACCCTCGATGTAAATTTCACTTTTACCGGGCAACGTGTAAATGTCCTGATGTGCAATAGTAAGTGTGAAATTCCTGTTTGGTTATAACTTCATCAAAGTTAGGATTGTCGAATATTTCCAATTTTTCCATTGTTATTAACCTTTAAACCGAGAGATTGAAGAAATGCAATGTTTTCAGACGTTAACTGCGGGCGAGATGGACGATTAATGCGAGAATTACATCCACTCCCCTCTTTTATAGGAATTGGGTCAGAAGTGCTACGTTTTTTTTCATTGCTATTTTTTGTTGATTTAAATACCAAACCCATTATTTACTACTATTATTGCAGTACTTTTTTAAGCTCGAGTCTGACAACAATTGTTTCTCCTCGAAAATCTACCGGATCACCGTCCTAATCCAATATAGTAAGAGTTATATTATCGATTTTATTTGTATTGATAGGTAGGAAAATGACGTGTTGAGGTTCAATGTTAATACTATAACCCGGTTCGACTTGTGGAGCAAATTCGTAGAGCGTATGCACCAGATGTGTGTTGTAGTAGGCTACTGTTGTAATATTACACTCTATACGTATAATTTAGGAGTAGTAACGGTCGTTACTGTTAGGAACTAAAGTAATTTATTGGGATACACGACCAACACGACAAAGGCTAGATAATTGAAAAGAGGCTTCCTTTTATCTTTACCGAGCTTTCGGAAATTTTATTTTTCCTTCTTCAGAGGTAACTACAATATTGAGAAAACAAAAGTTACAATAGTTAACAAGCAAACAATTGAACAACTTACAAAAATGGATTGCATAAAGGAACTGAACCAAAGCTAAACATGAGGTCGCAAACTTTGAGCACTAGACATATCTTATAAAAACTATACTTCTAATAATTCACTAAAGGTGAGTAATTAAAGATCAAAAGATACTAAAAATCATTACAAAGTTAATTTTGAAACCATTAAAATAAGTATTACTTACAAAGAGAACACGTTAAAATTTTTCGTTAAAAGTTAAGACGCAATAAGTCACGTAAGTTTTTTATACCACAAAAACTGGAAAGAAACAAGGCTGGCCAACCGTCGTCACGGCAAAACACCAAATACACTAAAAGTAACCACTAGGTGGCGTTGAGAGGGGGAATAAAATTGAAATTATGAAAAAGGAAACAAAAACCGAAAAAGAACTAGAAAACCAAAGAATCACCCTCAATCGATGTTTGATCCCTTCTACCCCAGTCCTTCATAACAAGGTAACTGTAAATAGAACTAAGGTTCTGGGTGTCAGTTCTGAAGTTTAAGGAATTAACCTCTTTATTGATGTAAAACATCTCTAAGAACAATCTCTTTGAATAAATTGATTCCTTATCAACAATCTGAGAATTCTCAAAATTAAAATGGTGACCACTGAGAACATGGTGATGAACCAACGCACTCTTGTTTTCATCTCTAGATTGACAATCACGTTTATGTTGTTTGATCCTAGCATCAAAATACTGACTGGTAGTGCCTATGTAGGTTTTTTCGCAATTATTGCAAGGAACCCTATAAATAACATTAGATTGTAAACCTTTAGGAACCAGATCCTTAGTCCTTGAAAAACAGGTGGATAAAGGCAAAGAATTGCATTTAGCAAACCTAACCGAGTCACACCTCAGAACTGAAACAAGTTTATCAGTCAGCCTGGGGACGAAGGGAATCTTAACAAAGTGGGTCCGGGGGCCAGGGAGGCTAGATATGTCGTGTTGGTCGTCACCCTCAGAAGGTTGACTAATATTACGATGGTAAGTACCATTATGATAAAGAATTCTATTAACTAGACCTATCGGATACCCGTTGTTGACGAATATATCCCGGAGCTTTTTTAGGTTAGAGTCAAGAAAGCGGACATCAGAGATGGATCTGACACGGTTAACCATAGCAACCACAGTGTTCAGTTTCTGATTGAGAGGATGGTTTGAATGAAAGTTGATATATCTCCCCGAATATGTTGGCTTAGTATACCAATTTAAACTAATAGTTTGATCTAAATTTCTTATAACAATAGTATCGAGAAAAGGAACACTAGAGTTAGATTCAGTTTCAACCGTGAACTGTAAATGACTATCAAAGTTGTTGAACACATCCATAACATCGTCGATGCGGTCGACAGGTACAGCGCAAATTATATCGTCCACGTACTTGTAGATAAAAGGAAGAGAAAAACCCAACAAAGGAATACATTGATCAAGAAGATGATCCATCACCATTGTGGCCAAGTTGGGGCTCAAAGGACTTCCCATTCTCTACAAAATGGTTTTTGAGTCTCGAAAGAGAGGACCCGATTCTTATATTAAGAGCAGATAAAGGACAGGTTACAGTAGCTATGTTTAAATCAGAATATACAGTGTGTCCCCGGATAGGTGAAACGATTCTTATAAAATGTAAATTTTTTTCGATATTAATTGTCATCTTTTGGGGTTCAGCCCTGCTTGGTTAAAGACTAATTTTGAACATATTTTCAAATT